GGGTCACCACCTCTCTGCCTCTGTCGTTGCCCCTCTTACACTCACCACACACAGTTCTCACTTCTGCCCACACCCTGAGACCTTCCCAGGGGGGGATAGACAAGGTTGGTGACAACCTTGGGTCAGAGTGACTGGTGCTCTGGGAGAGGGAGGCCAGGCAGCTACGGGGCATGAGCAGGGCTGGTGGGCGGTGCCAGCTCCGGGCAGGAGGCAAGGATGCGGAGTGCCCAGGAGCAGGTCTGCCCTGGTGCCTGGCTGCCGCGGGGCCGCGGGGCCACACCCCGCTGGGACTCCTGTCCCTGCGAGCATCCTGGTGAACAGTCCCCAGACCTGCAGGAGCAGCAGAGAGCCGTGGGAACCAGCGGGAAACTTGTTAACAGCCGAGAAAGGCTGAGCCGAGGGTGGAGCGGTCGGCAGGCGGAAGCACCTGGTTGTGGCCACTGTCCAGAATGGTGGTGGGCGCAGGGGAGGCGGACAGTGGTGAGACAGGGAGGAAAATGGCCAGGGAGCCGGAGTGAAGAGGAGGGTGTCCCATCAAGATGTCAGGGTCTGGGGCTCAGCCAAGCCTGGCTGTGGGACCCTGGCCCGCTCAGCGTCCTGCACGCTCTTCAAAGCACTGCCCTCCAGAAATCCGCCAGGCGCCCCAACCCACAGCGGGGCTGTGCTAAAAGAGGCATGGAGCTGGGTTTGAGGTCCCTGCCGTCCAGTCGCCACTCCAGATGGCAGACAGAGGTGGTGGCCACTCTGCTCCAGCCCCCACCCGCTTCTCTGGAAGCCGCGTCTGGGCACCCCTCTGCTCTGTCCCAGGAGGCCTAGCTGGCACCTGCTGTCGGTCTGTCTCTGATGCTCCTGTGCCCCAGAGCACCCCTAAGACAGCTTTCAGGGCTGTTCTTCAGTCTTGGCGTGGGGACTTGGAGGAGGGGGCACAGGCTCCAGGGGACAGGCTCGCCCAGAAACTACAAATGCAAACTTAATCATTCAGCAAGCTGAGTAATTCTGTCCCAGCACCCCCACGGGCTTCCTGCTGGATTTTGTTATTAGAAGGTAACAACGTGTGAAAAGCACCCCTTCCCGGCCCCCAGTGTCCTGCAGGTGTCCAGCTCTCCCTCAGACCCTTCCTGGTCTGGGCGTGCGCTGAGATGTCCGGTGCCCAGTCAGGCTCACGTGCACAGTGCACTGTCTGCCCCACTGTCCGTTTCCACCGAGGCCCCAGGCTGCTGCTTAAGATCCAGACACGAGGAGCCGGTCCAGGATCTGGGCTCAGAGCACAGTGATGCCTCCCACCCCTCTGCCCACCCCTGCTCCTCTCCCCACTCACGCCCCTGCTCTGCCCCAGACCCCACAGGAGAGACCCACGCCCCTCCCTGCTCCGGCACACACCTCCACTCCCTGGCCTCCTGGCTGTGGGCCAGCCCCCACCGCCAGCCTCTTGTCAGTGCCCAGTTCTGTCACACACAGCACAGGGGCCGCCGGGAGGGCAGTGTCAGAGCAGAGGTGCCACTTTCAGAGATGCTCACAGAGGGGCCGGGGCAGCCATGAGGCCCTGTCTGTGCTTGAGGGGAAGGGAGCAGAGTCCACAGGGGCCTGAAAACAGCTCAGCGTCTCTGGCTGCCTGGGGCGGGGTGGGGTGAGGAGGGGCGGGCAAGGGGCTCCGTCATGAACGGAGGGGTGGGGACGATGGGGGAGGCTGTGCTCCCGCCAGTGCCCCCCTCAATGTTCGGCTGCACCCAGGTGTGCCTACCTTTCATATCAGGGTCTCCTCAGCCGCCAGCGAGGCAGACCCTGAAAGGAGCAGCATCCAGTCTGAGCAAATGCCCTGGGGCATCTCTAAGTCTTGGGGGGGGTCATCTGGTCACATCTGCTGGAGTTTGGTGATGACCCAAACTGATGCCTACCCAGGGGCCCTGGGCCCGACTGTCTCTCCGACGGGTGGTAACTAATTGCTGTGTGACCCCCCACAGGGGAGCTCTCTGAGCTGCAGATGGGATGTGGGTGGCCCTGCCAGGGGTCAGGTCCACCTTCACCCCAACCCCTTGGTTACTCTACACTCCCTCCACCCAGAGGCCACCTCCACCCTCCAAGGACCTGCCTCGTCCTCCCTCGAGGCCAGTCTCAGCCCCAGGACACAAGATGGCCATCTGAGCATGAGGCACGAGTGAGTCTGGACAGAGGCGGGCTGGTGGGGGGCCTTCTGCGCACTGCAGGGGAGACACACGCTCAGCTGGGCTGGGCTGGGTCTGCCTGCCCCCTGGGTCTTGACCATCTTCCGGCCATGCTTATGTCCAGGGGGTGTGGCAGCCCCGGGGCTGGGAACTCGTTCCAGGAGACAATGACACAGCCGCTGGCAGCTAGTGCCACAGAGACTCGCAAACGAGTGAAGTGACAGAGACCAGAGGCTTTGTTAGTGGGTGTCCAAGCCAGGCCTCAGGGGACATCTGGGCTTCAGGCTGAATGACCCAATGCCACCTACATGAGTCCTGGGGAACCTGGATGAGCAGCGACCCACGCCACGGGCAGAGGTGGGAACAGGCAAGTCCCGACTCCAGCGTGGGGCTGGGTCCAGGCGTGCCCCCAGGTGGGGCACACAGCCGTGGAGATGCCCATGGCCCCACACTGCCTTGGGTGCCAGGTGGACACCTGCATTTTGTGACTTCTTCACCTGCTACAGGGGAGGATATTGCGGCCAAGAGAAGTGAGACCTCCACCCAATCTCACACCACTGGCCCTAAAGTGAGGACGTCTGAGCAGACAGGCTCGGGGCGCTGGGTCCTGGGCAGGTCAGACTCATGCACACCTAGGTCCATAGGTGGGAACCTGGAGGGCCGGGGCTCCCCCTTCCCAGGAGGATGAAGCCATGAAAAGCCTCGACTTCATCCAGGAGTAGGAGGTAATTTTAGGAATTATGTCATAATTGCAGTATTGATGCAGAAATATGAAAACGATAAAAGTGAAAGGTGTCCCAAACCACAGGAAGCAGGCACCACCCCTAGAGAGGAAGCCCGACAACTATTGACTAAAGCCGTCAGCCTCAGCGCCTGGGGTGGAGGTGGGAGGACAGTGGCCTTCCCAGCCGGTGCCTCCCAGGCCTGGCTGGGCCAGGAGACTGGGGTGGACCACAGCGGGGCTGCACCTACCACCGCGGCCACGTGGAATAAGCAACAGGGGGTCTGCCTTGAGCCAGGTCAGGCCATGGACCGTCAAGACCGGGCCGACAGGATGGCATGGCAGCCTTGAGGCCCACCCTGGGCCTGGCGTCCTGGTCCACAGCCTGCCCAGGTCCTGGCCGGGGGTCTGGAATCACCCACTTCCCTTCCCCAGGCACCAGAGGTCCAGTCCTCCTACCCTCCTACCTGTCCTAGGGCCTGGGTCTGGGAAGATGACCCAACACAGGCGCTGCCCCAACCCCAGGCGGCCAGTGGATGCACCCCGGTCAGGTGCCTTCCATGAGAAGCAGGACGCTCCTCCTGTGGCCCCTCAGCTGAGCCCAGATGCTCTAGACCTGGAACCTGTGTCTCTGCAGCGAGGACCAGTGCTGGGCGGGAACCGCTCCCCCAAGGCCATGGCGATTTGGCTGCACCTGTCCCCTTAGAGCTGGGGCAGGGGCCGGCCAGTCTGTGGCCCCCTGGTCACTCCCTGGCCTCAAGGGTTCCCTGGAGTGGACACACCTGGTTCTTGGTGCAGCTCAAGCACGAGGTCCTGGCTTGTAGGGTAAGAACCACGCTGGGCCAGGCCAGATGGAAACGCTGGACGGTCACCCCAGCAGCGGCAGGGGTGGCATGGGGCACACAGAGGCCTGTGGGCAGGCAGGGCTTCCACAGGCCCTGAGCAGGTGAGGGGTGGCCATGCCCGCCTGGCCAGCAGCTTCAATGGGAAACCTGCACTGACCTGCACTGGTTCCATAGCTCGTTCATTAAAATAAAAGCTACAAATAGCAGCAGGTGGTAACCACGGTGGGCCTCGTCCTCTACATTAGTCATGGCCACCAGCAGATTCTCCTTCCTGCCCCAGCAGCAGCCCCAACCGGACCCATGGCTCACCCCAGCAAGGACGCCTGCTCTCCCGCCTCCTAGTCAGACCCAGGGCAGGGTGGCGGTCCCGGGTGAGGCCCCACTTGCACAAGACCTCTGCGGGTGCAGAAGCCACAGGGTCTTGGGCCCTCAGGGCAGAAGGCAGAGCAGAGCTTCTCTGAGCCTCCCAGACGTAGGCCCTATGCCCGTCTCCCACCCACTCATCACCCAGGACAAGCCCGAAATCACCCAAATGCCACGTGGCACCATATCTGTCAAGTCATTCATGTTTTGGGTGAAGACATGGCTTCTCTAAGGCCTGCAGTGCTGCCCTGGACTGAGGGAGGGTTGCGGCCATGACGCCCGGCCCCACCTTCCCAAAGTCCTGGAGAGGCCGCGTCTGCAGGGCCGGGGCAGTGCCGAGCCAGGCGGCCAGGACCGGGATGAGCTCTTGGGCCCTGTGGACACACAGACCCATAGGATGCTCGGAGAGTCACTTCTGACCAACAGAGTCGCGGCCATTGCTGCCATGTACTGAAGCGTGTTGTCCCTTAAAACTGCAGTGACTGCACTTGTGCAGCCTCACGGCCACATCTCTGCCCACAAGACCGAGCAGCTGGCACTCTAAGAAAGTACTTTTTGTCGCAAATTCCCTAACTCTCCCCAAAGGCTCCACACCCATTGTGCTCCGAGGAGGGGAATCCAGCAGACAGAGGGCGGTCCAGTCCCACCGGGGCGGCGACCACGGGGAGGCCTGTGCCCACGGGGAGGGCTGAGCCCCAGACTCCGAACCACAGCTGGTTCCTTCATCCTGCCCACCTGCTGCATGTGACCGCCCAGGCCGCCCTGGGGGCCCCGCCCAGGAGGCTCCCGCAGGTAGTGACAAGGAGCCGGATTCTGCAACACGTGCAGTCCCTGTGCTGCGTCTTCGAGGTCCGAGCCAAGATCAGCCAGAGAACAGCAGGACCGTGGCTATTCAGCACGGACACAGTGTCATCAGAAAATAGTTTAATTCTGTACAGGCGGCCGCCAGACTGGGTATACACTGGGGGACACGGACGTTCACGACAGGGTCAGGAGAGGACAGCTGGGCAGCGCGCACTACCCTGAGGGGACACGCTCTCGGGGGGACGGCCACTGAACAAAATAAATCACAGACTATGACGATTGTAGGAGGGGCGTGAATCAATACTTTCCTTTGGGAAAAAGAAAGAAAAACCAAGAGGCTTCGGAATGCTTTCTCTCCTCGTGCCCACGGGGACGGCGACAAGGGCTGGACCGTGTCTGCTCCAGGTCCACCGAGGGCGGGGCGCGGCCACCGGTGCAGCCGAGTCAGCCCACGCTGCACGGCCTCCAGGCGGCTCTTGGCTGAGCCCAGCAGCTTCCGGCTCTGTGAGCTGCACGCGAAGCGGCGACCACGCGGGCTCAATAGAGAGGACGGGCGCCCTGGCTCTCGAACTCGGCCCAGGCGTCGCTCAGCTCCATGAAGATCATCCTGGCCTGCTGCTCGTAGGGCTGCCCCACCGCCTGTGGGTCGTGGGACCAGCAGTGAGCAGGGCCTCGCCTGGCCCCCAACCCCTGGGGTGCTTGTCCAGGGGGACAGCCCTCCCGCTCCGGTCCAGCGCTCACCTTGTCTGGGTGGACAGCCCACCCCGCCCACCTCGCTCCACCCCGCCCACCCCGCTCCGCTGGCGCTCACCTTGTCCGGGTGGACCACCAGCACGGCCCTGCGGTACTGCTTCTTCACTTGCCCAGGCGTCACCAGGTCGGCCATGCCCACGGGCGTCCAGCGGCTCTCGCCGTCCCACAGCACGGTGTGGAGCGTGGACAGCAGGGCGCGGATGTTCCTCTCCTTGCCCTCGGTCCAGTCCAGGAGCTGCCAGACACACGGGTGCTGCAGAGCGGGCTCCTGGCCGCAGCCCCTCCCGCCGTGCAGCCAGCCCGGCCGGTGGAGCAGGCTCCCGCCATGACACGCGAGGCCAGGCCCACCGTCCCAATCTATGCGATGACCCCACCCAGGGCAGTCACTGTCACTCCCCGGGCCTAGCTGGACACCACACAGGCCCACACAGCACACGGGACCTGGTGACCCCTCTCAGTGCGGATTCACAGACGACCCACCACTGTGGCCTCGCCCTGTTTGTCCTGGAGCCCCAGTACCCAGTGGGGACAAGGCCGGGCTCCTGGGTGACTTATTAGGTGCTCCCCAAGGCCACGGCGCCCACTGCAGCCTGCAGGCCCACATCCCCACCGACCCCACGATGAGGACACCCTGACCCCTCAGTGACGCTGAGGCTCACAGCCAGAGTGCCCGGCTGGCAGGCGTCCCGTCACCCCGTGTCCCGAGCTGCTCTTCTGGGAGCACTTTTCCCTGACCAGGGCTACGTCTGGTTAGAGCTTCAGAGGAGAGAGGCACTTAGTAACAAAACGAGAAGGTAACGGCCTCGTGTCATCAGCCACACGGTGACACCACCACGCAGACGTTGCTGAGGTGGGACCGTGTGAGTCTGCTCCAAACCTCTCGGAAAGGCAGTAAGCTTCAGTGGAGGGAGTCAAAGCCCCTCCTGCGTGTGAGGCACCTGGGGCGGCTGCTGCTCGAGGGGCGGGGCCAGGCACACCCACCACAGTGGACACCCCACTGCCTGCAGACCCTCAGCGACCCCCGGACCCCGCAGGGCCTCATGGGCCATGCCGTCCGCTCCACCGTGTCTTCCCAGACACTCCTGAGGTTGGATAGGTGGCCGGGGACCCCTGCCCGCTTGGCACCTTCAGCTTGAGTGGGTCCGTGTCCCTCGCCTGGTCCTGCCGCCTCATCTCGGCGATGGTCCTTGGCCCCTTCCTGTCGGCCTTGGAGGAGAAGCCTTGATTGCAGAGCAGGTCCTCAAAGTCGGTCTCAGACACCCGCGGCTTTTGCACTGCAGGAGAGGCTCTGCTGAGACACTCGTGCCCCGGACACAGTGCCATCGTGACGCCTCAAAAGCCAACAAGCCCAGGGTGCCCCATTTATTAAAAACAGGCCTGCCTGCCGTCACAGCCCACCCAGCTCCTTTACGACTGTGTTTCTCGCCCAACGACCCTTTGGGAATGAAGGACGGCTGAGAAAAGTGGAAAACATCCAAAAGGGGTCTCTGGGCCCACACGTTCCTGAGTGCGGGGCCGTCTGTCACCTCCTGGGGTCAACATGGGGTGGGCCACCCCATGCCCGACACCACAGCCAGGCCAGGGATGACTATCCAGCTGCCCAAGGAGGCCGAGTAGGTTCCTGGACAGTGCTGGCCTGGGGACAAAAGGGACGCCCATGTCACCAATCTAAACCATTTCCTCTGTCCCAAAGTGGCTCCTGTGGGTGAAAGAGCTCTGGGTCTCACTTAATACTCTTTCCCTGGGCTGGGCTGTGAGTTGGAGAAAACAAACCAAGACGCCAGGATGTCAACCTTGAGAAAACCGCACAGGCACAGGGGAAGGACTTACCAAAGCTGGGGACACGGACACCCCTCTCCTCTCGGCCACCGATCACACTGAAGTTCGTGGCATAGCTCGGCCTTGGCTGAGCACCGGCTCTGAGGGGTGGCTTGGCCTGGGAGGGCCGTGGAGTGCCTTGGGCTGTGGGCCGACTTGTCTGCCAGGAGCCAGTGCCCTTGGGTGGGGGGGCCGCTTTGGGACCAAAGCCCCCAGGAGCAAATCCAGCAGGTGAGCCTGGGGAGACAGTCACAGCAGGTGAGTGTCAATGACATGTGACAGCCACCTAGTCCCGTGAAGGCACTATGGATGGAGGTATCCTGGGGACACACATGCTGGGAAACACACACTTGTAAAATGAACATTCACGGTCAGACGCCAGGATGGGACAGCCGTCGAGATGGCCCCCACAGCCGGACTGTCCGCAGCGGCTGGGGGACAGTGGGGACGATCGTGGGATGAGTGCGGGGAACCACCTTCCCACTCACTCTCAAAATGCAGGGCAGGTTCTTTCACTTTCTATTTTGAAACAAACACATAGGAGGCTGTGGGCTGCATGTGGACAGGTGTGTGCATGTACACGTGTGTGTGCAGCTCTGGGCCGCTTTTCCTTGTGTGCAGATCTGTGCAAGCACCTGATCAAGGCACCTGGTTGTTCTTCATCTGTGACTCACTTTAAGAATGTTTTAGAGGGCCGGCCGAGTGGCATGTCGGTTAAGAGCTGGCTTGGGACGCCAAAGGGCCCCGGTTCAGATCCCACATGAGAGCCAGTGACGCTGCACCCTCTACAGCTAAGATGGTGAACAACAGCTCGACCTGGAGCTGGGCTGCCCTGAGTCGCCAGCATCGGGCTGCCGTGAGCTACCGTGAGTGGCTGGGCAGCCAGTGTGAGCGGCCAGCAGCCGCTGTGAGCAGCTGTCCAATGGCCTGTGATCGATCCACCTCAGCCGGGAAGAGCGCAATGATAATACCAACATGAGCCAGTGAAGCAACGTCCTCTACAACTAGACTGAAGAACAAAAGGACAGCAACTTGTCTGTCCCTCTTCCCCGATTCCCCAACGCTATTCCCCTCCAATTTTCCAATAAAATCTTTTAAAAAAAGAATATTCTAGAAATGGAATCAGATAGCAGACAGCCTTTGCAACCAGCTCTTTTCACGCAGGAGCCCCCTCTTGGTGGGAGGCAGCGTGGCTCGCTGCGTCACTGACCAGGGTGGGGCGGTCACAGACGAAGCTGCGGTGAGCACGCATGTACTTGGCACGTGCCCACATGTCCCTCTTGGGATAAATGGCAGCTGCATATTTACTTCTGTAAGAAACTGACCACTGTGCCCAGAGCAGCAGTGGCTTTTTGCATCCCCTCCAGCCATGTGAGAAACTCAGTTTCTCCACGTGCTTGTTAGCAGATACTGTTGGCACTTTTGCTGTCACTGTCCCAAGCGGAGTGATGGCCAATTGAGGTTTCCCTGGCACCTTTTCAGCTCGCTAGCCTTCTGCATGGCCCCTGCACTGGGGTGTGTCTTCACTGTTCGCCATTTTCCAATCACTCAGCTCTTTGGTTTACACTGCACAGAGACCCTCCAATGGCGCCGGTGACGCCAACAGCACAGTAATGCTGCCCAGGGGCCGGGGAAGCTTGACTGTCGTTCACGCCCGTCAGCCTGTGGGACAACAGGTTTCCTAATAAGTCCTTTTGCTTTGAGTCGCAGAACCGATGGACGACGTTAAATGAGAGCTGACTATACTTACATATCCTAGATGTGAGTTCTGTCAAATATGTGGTTTGGAAATATTTCTTCCTGATCAATAAGCTTGTCTTTCCATCCTTTTGACACTTTTAAGCAGATTTAGTTTCGATAAAGTCCAATTTATCAGTTTTTTTCTGTTATGGATCATGACACCAGCCCTAGGTCCCAAAGATTTTCTCTTGTTTCCTTCTAACGGCTTCATAGTTCTGCATTTTACATTTAAATCTACAGCCAATTCTGTTACCTGAAGTGTGAGGTACAGAGCTCAGGACAAGGTTACGTGGTTGCCTACAGGACGATTGTTCCAGCACCAACTGCAAATGGCGTTTGCATCTGTTGACAGGCCGAGCTTACTCGCATGGGTCTACCTCCGGCCCTCTACCCACTTCAGCTGGTTTACGTTGTCTGTCCTTCTGCCAACACCACGTGCTCTTGAGTCCAGCAGCTACAGAGCGAGCCCAGGGCCAGGCAGTGATTCCTCCACGTTATTCTTCCATCTCAAAAACTTCAGGCATTCTCATTCTTCTGACTTTACAAATAAATTTTATAATACGCTTGTCTGTGTCTACAGAAACCCTTACTGAGATCTGGCAGGAACTGCACTAAACCTACGCATCTGGGAAGACCTGGCATCTTTCCTGTGGGGTCTCTCCACTTGCTCCATCAGGTTTGGTCCCAGGGTTCCACAACACAAGTCCTGTGCGCGTCTCCTCTTTCCTGGCGACCTTTGAACGGTGCTGTTTATCATGTGGAATTCCCGGGGCCAGTAAACACTCAGCTCTGCTGTCTGCTGGCCTTGTATCTAGGCCGAATGAACTCGCCCCCTGGATCTGAAAGGTTTTTGGAGCTCTCTGGAGACCTGCCACACAGACAAGCATGTCACCTACGGCAGGAACAGTGTAACCCTTCTCTTTCCTTTCCTGCCTAAATGTGCGACCTGGGCCTGGTGGTGAGCAGGGGTGGGGGTGAGCGCTCCTGCCTGGACCCTGCTCTCGGGGGAGTACAGCCTTGCACACTAAGTGAGGTCGGCCGCAGGGTTTTAGATGCTCGTTATCTAGGAGATCGAGTCCCCTTGTTGCCAGTTTGTTGAGTGTGCTTATCATAAGCCAGTGCTGGGCCTCACCAAATGCCTTTTCCACACTGTCCGTGCAGTCACATGCCTCTCCCTCCTTGGCCAGCTGATGAGGCAGACTCTGTCAGCTGGTTCTGGAACGCTGGGCCCGCCCTGCACTCCTGGAGTGGACCCTGCTCGTTTGGGTGTGTGGCTCTTTTACATCCTGATGTTCTGCTTGCAGAGACTGTGTTGTGTGTTGAGGACTTGCATCTATGCAGACGACGAATACTGACTGCCCTGTAGCTTTCTTTTTTTGTACTGTCTCTGTCTGGTTTTGGTATCAAGATAATTACAGCTTCATGAGATCAACTGGAGCTCCCAATTCCTGGAAGACATTGTGCGGGACTGGTATGAGCGCTTTAAATGTTTGGTAAAATTCTCCAATGAAACCACCTGGGGTTGGAGATTTCCTTCCGGGGAGGTTTCTAACTATCAGTTCATTTCCTTTACAGTTAGAACCAGTTAGATGTCCGCCTTCGCACGGGCTGAGACTGGGTGCTGAGGTTTGGAGGACGCTGTCCTCCGGCCGCACACGTGCCACGCTCATGGGCCGTGCTCGTGCATTCCCTTTCTACTGTTTAAAGTGATGTCGCTCCACATGGCATTTCTGATACTGGCAACTTGTCTTCCTTTAAAAAACTTGTTTTGCTACAGTTTAGTCGATTTCATCCATCTTTCCAACAAACCAGCATTTTGTTTAACTAATTTTCTTTATTGTTTTTGTTTTCTATTTCAATGATTCCACTGGCTCTCCATTATTTCCTTCCTTCCGTCTGCTCACTTTGCTTTTCTTCTGAGACACCTTGAGTGCAGGCTCACAATGCTGATGAGACGGTTCACCTCACCTCTCCTATTTATTTTTTTAGCTGAGCCATCCTGCCACCTGTTGGCAGCTCAGCGGCAGCTCAGCTCGGGCCGGGACTCGAATCGCTGTTGCTCAGAGCTCACACTCTTGAGCGAGCTCTTAACCAACTGAGCCCCTCGGCCGGCCCCATCTTTCCTAAAGGAACGTTTCATGCTACACATCCTCTCAGCACGGCATTAGCCGTGCATGCCGGTCTCGCCATTTCCATTTCATCCTCATTCAGGTCACCGTGTTACCTCCTTCGAGACTTCCTGGTAACCTGTGTTATTCAGACGTGTGCGCTGTTCAAGCGTTTGAGGATTTTTCAGTTATCTTGTGTTGCTGACTTCCATGCAGTCAGAGCACAAGGATGGTCTGCATGTCCTCAGTCCTAAATTCGCTGAGGGACAGGACACGGGCTTCCTTGGTGGAGGTTCCCCAGGTGTGTGAGGGTGAGTGTATGGTCCCCGGCTGGTGCCAGGTCCCATGAGGGCTGACACATTCGCTCCCCAGTCAGCCCATGGTGCCAGCAGCTTGTCCCTCGCTTGCTGACTCTCCGTCGTTGTTCCTCCACTTGGTTAGAGGGATGGTTCATGTCTCTAATTAGAATCTGAATTTGTCTATTTCTCCTTTCAGTTCCATTAGCTTTATTCAGAATTCTGTTTTCCCAGGGATGTGACAGAGGGTCTCGGATCACAGTGCAGACCTGAGGGCGGGTTCCATCCTGAGAACGGGCGACCGGATCCCAAGAAGTCCTTCCCTCCCACTGGCTGTGAGGCCGACAGTGCAGGCAGCACCCAGGAGGCTCTGGGTGGCCCTAGAGCGCTCAGACAGCCTAAGACAGAGGCCAAGCAGGGGCAGAGCTCCAAGCACAAAACCAAGCTTCCCCGAGACACTGCAACCTGGAATACCAGAAAACTACTTTCAAAAAGGGCTATTCAAGAATGAACACCTCTCAGGACTGAAAAGACGGTAGCAGGAGCCCTGACAACACGGGGATGTGGGGGTGGAGTGGTGGGAATCAGAGACACAGCAGAGAGCTCTCCCAGCACCAAGGAACAGCAGCTTCCAACCCAGGGCTTGCCAGGCGCCAGTGCGGGGGCTACAGGGAGTGGCCACCACACTCCAGCAGGAGGGGACACCGCCCAAGGGCCAGACGGATCATCCCTGACAGCAAGCGTTCCAAGGAGACATAATTTCCAACCTGGAATTCCAACGCACCCGAATGCCAAGGGATGAGACACACTCTCAGGTGTCTCATGGTGTCTCAACACTTTGTTCCCCACACGTTTCTGGAGGAGCTGCAGGGACCCCAGGGACGTGTCCCCAGGGCATCGGATCAGCTCCAGGAGATTCCACGCCAACAGAGGCAAGCATGACACTCGGTCTCCCATGCAGACCCCGCTCCCCAGACGGCCCTACACGACGGCGATGCCCATGACGGCCAGGCCCCGGCACCGGGCTAACAAGTGCTCGTGTTAGCTTGGTTAAGAAGCCCCTGCAGTGCGAGCAGACAGGCTGTTCCTGGTGTCGCTGTGCTCTGGGCCTCGGTGGGTGGAGGTGGAGGCCCCGTGCAGGGCATCTGAGTCTGACGGGGGAGCAGGGCCCGAGGACAGACACATGGGACCCTCCTACGAGCAGGCCTGGCACTCTACACACCCGACATGTCCTGCACGGTACCTTGGAGGCTGGAACTGAGGTCGCCGAGGTCTGCAAACGGGTCCAGGCTCTGAGATTTGGTCTGACTGGCTGAGGGGCCAGGAGGGGCCGGCTGGCCTCCAGAAGAGAAGAAGGGGCCTGGAGAAGGGCAGAGGGAGTTAGAGTGAGCGCCATGAAGTAGGGCACAGCCTCTGCTCGGCCCCCTTATGCTCAAGACCGCACGCAGCCGTGTCAGCACCACACAGCTGAGACACCCGAGGGCCTGTGTCCTCGGGGCCCGGCTCCATTGCCCCCACGCTGGTCCCCATGGAAGGCACCCAGACAGTGTCACAGGCCTCAGAGACCGTGTCCTTCAGGGGCTCCCTGGGATTGGACGTGTGAGTGTGCTTCCCAATAGTCTCCGTAACAGTGTCAGTTTGGGAACGTTCTAAGTACAAAATACTGAAATACCTGAGTAAGTTATGGTACAGCCACTTGATGGAATACTATAGTTATTACAAATGAGGGCTATTCATATGTGAAGAGGACTTACCAATTAACAGGCAAAAGATGACGTTCTTATGCAAAAAAATGATTAAAGAACACGAAATACTCGTAGTTCTCAAAAGAAATACAAGTAACCAAAAACACACAAAATAATAGTGAACCTCATTTGTGCAATGTTAAAATAAGTGACAAATTAAAAAGCGCAAATTAAAGTAAGTCACGGCCTATCAAATTGGCAAACAAGTCTTTCCGACTGTGGTGAGAAGCCGAGGCTAGGAATTGCTGCGGGCAAAAAAGTTAATAAAAAGTACCTAGGAGGCGACACATGCCACAGGTGTCAACGTGGTCGCCTCTGACAGAAACTCACTAGTGAACAGTCACGGACGCACAGAAAGGCGAACATGTCCACTGGAGGGAAGTCCTCAAGGGTGGGGCCTGGCCTCGAGACACCCACCACGGCACAGCCCCCCGCCACCCGCAGGCTCCCAAGGGTCCTTCACAAGGCACAGCACCCACAGGACACAAGAAAATGCTACGAAACGCTATGGGTTCGAGTGACGGCAGTAAGCAGTGTGTGAGGCATGAAACTGTTGTCCACACAGGCATACCATAGGAGGTGAGGCAGGGACCTGTGCGGACGGCGCTGAGCACACACTGCCGCCCGTGGGCACCAACCCGTGTGGGCACTATGTCCCGCCAGTAAGCCCGTCCTTCGCTCCTTTTCTGGGAGGGAGTTGTGGTTAGGTCACGGTGAGACCGAGAAAGCCACCAGACACAGCGGGCACTCTGCAGGGAACCAGCCTCCAGGGGGCAGGAGCGTACCTTCTGGGGCCGGTGTGGGGGCTGGCGCCTCCGCCCAGGTGTCCCATCCTCCCAGCAGGTCTGGGTGGCTGGCCGACGCAGGCATCTTGCTGGACTCTGCCAGTACATCCCCTGAAGAGAGCACCAGTTCACTGTGTCCCCTGGTGGGGGCGGGCCGTGGCCTTCACATGGCCTCCTGGGAGCCCCGTGGGCTGGCTCGGCCACAAGCCCCATCTCTACACCCCCAAGTGAGCAGGAGGCCCAGCAATGGCTGTGTCTGCCACAGGCCGGGGACTAGGTGGCTCATGGGTGCAGTGGGCCCGAGATGGGGCTGTGCTCACATGCCGGTGGGGCCACCTCTGGCTCGCAGGGAGCCGTGCTGGGTCTGGGCTCGGCCAACAACGACCAGCGTCCCTCCTCACCGGCTGAGGACGCATCACAGAGACACTGAACTGACCAGTGGATGCGGGGTCAGCAACTGGACAAGCTTCCAGGGCAATGCTGCACCTGCTTATCTGGAAGGGTCTTCAAAAACCTCCACTCCCCATGGTTTGCCACACACTCACCCGCGGCCGCACACCAGCACCCCCAGAACCTGCCTCCCTCCCCAAAATCGAATGGAGCATGCAGGGTGGACACCAGCCACTGTGTCCCCTGCCCGGGAGGGAGGAGCTGCAGCCACAATTGGTCAGCCCCGGGCCCAGGGCAGGGACCACTCACCCAGTTGTAGGAAGTCTGTACTGCAGGTCGGGGGTGGGGCGCTGTGTGTGGAGGGGAAGGACGCAGACTGGGCAGCTGGAGAATCCGAATTAAGAAATTCGCCAAAGAGGTGGGGCTCGGAGCAGGGCGGGGCGTCTGGGTCACAGGTCACCAGGAGAGGGTCAAACGGGTCGGCTGTGCAGACAGGAGAAGCGAGCGGAGGTGAGGGGCTGCACAGGCACCGTGACGCCGGCACCAAGAGCGCCGGCTACACAGACAGCAGACAAGAGCCAATCCCAGACCCAGGCTGAGGCCGCAGTGTCTGCTCCAGGACATGCTGGATGACGGGCATACCCTCGCCCCATGCCCTGAACTCACGGGAAGACAGCAGCCCTTGGGTGGAGGGCTGGCAGTTTCCCGCTGTGGACACAGGAGGGGCCAAGGGACCAGCCCACATGTGGCCACCTGCTGCTGGCGGGTCCTGGGCTGTGAGGGGCAGAGCGCTGAGCCCCAGCCCCGTCATCGGCTTGCAGCTCTGCGAGGCCAGACTACTAAGCCGTGTCACGTGTTCAGCACGTACCCGCCACAGTGGGCCCTTCGCGAGGTGTGCTCCGTGCACTCGGGGGAGGGGCAGGGCTTGTGAAGAGCAGGGGGCCCTCACTGCCGAGGAGATCGCCTGGGCAGCTCTCCGGAGCAGCCTCTGGGACCCCCAGGAGAGAGCTGAGCAGGTCGGCGTTGCTGGGGGGAGCCCCCGAGGCCTGCGTGGGGGGTGCTGGTCCTGCTTCGGAGTGCAGCCCCAGGAGGTCGACGCCATCCTCAGGCAGCGTGGGCTCCTGAGGGATGGCCGTCGTGTTCCCATCAAAAAGCAACTCTTGGTCTTGTGCCCTCGCAGCCGGGCCCGGCGTGTCCTCGTCAGCCGTGTTACTGCTCTTAGCTGAGAACACTGCCGCTTCCTCGTCAGACGGCTCACTGTCACCTTCGTCCTGAGCCGGGCCGGCTGAGGTCTCCTTGATGAAGTTCCTTTCCAGGACCATCTCGGAGTCTTTCTCCTCTGAAAAGAGAAGGGCATGCTGACACGGCTGGAAGTCCAGCAGAGGGGACAGCAGGACACGCAGACAAGGCGGGGCACCAGGCCTGCGTGCCAGGCTGGACTGCACACAAAATGCTGCTGCCACACACGTCATGGGAGGGGCTGTGAGCGCTGCTGGCCACGCCTGCACCCACCATGCCAGTCCAGGGTGTGCAGGAAGTGGTTGGTGTCTGTGCTGCTGCTCTGCGGTGACTCTGACTCCGTGGGCTCCGCATCTGGGGATCCCGTCTCGGCGTCGTACTGAGCGGTGGAGCCAGGCTGCCTGGGGAGCTCCGGCTTCCCTGTCAGGGGGAAGGGTGTCAGACCACCCTGCAGGGGGAAGGGAGGGGGTACTGGACCTCTGGGCAGGGGAGGGGAGGGGAGGAGGCTCGGACCACCCAGCCCAGGGCGCCCGTCGCCCACAGCAGCCAGCAAGATGGGCCAGGGTCAAGCCACAGGAAACCTGTGCCGGCAGCCACCCCGGGCCAGCCTGCGAAGGGAGCCCAAAGTAGGCTGAGTCACTGCCCCGGCTCACAGTGAGCACACGTGCACACCCCTGACACATGCACACACGTGCACACCACTGACACATGCACACAAGTGTGTACACAAAGACTTTTCAGGGATACTGTGCTGTCTTCACATAAGAAAATGTAAAAAGTGCGAATCGAGAGCGTGAAGGAGACGGACACGCTGCAAATGGACTGAGAAGTCCTACTGGCCAGTGTGCTTTTCATGCTACTTTTCTGTAACTGCTCTGAAGTAGGGAGACAACTGAGCTGAGTGAGGGGTCCCCAGGGAACACCAGCTCTCGTGCTGGTGGCCTCATGGTGCCCAGTCGGCCCAGAATGAAGCCTCGACTGCTTCTGGGTCACGCCTGAAATGGTTGCGTGTCCAGAAAAGCGACGCTCTCTGAGTCAGCCAGTGACGCGACCCTGACCCTCCCCACCCCCTGCACTGGCGGGTCCCAGCCCCGCCTGTCACACCTGTGGGCCCACCTTGGACAGCAGGCACTCCAGTTCCTACACAGGGGCCGCGATGTGTGACGGGGCCCTGAGCAACCCTGCGCCCCCGCACAGCCTGACCCTGAACCGTTCGTTTCTCAGTGACACATCAGAGCCGGCATCTGCCAGCATCTTCGGAAAACACGGATCTTACCGAACTTGGACAGAATGTCTTGCTGCTCGTCCCGGCTGGAAAAGAGGATTTTGGGATTCAGCCCCCTCATGCTCGTGCTCTCCCAGGGTGGAGCCTCCCGGCTGGGCCTGTCTCTGGGCTCCACTTCCACCTCCAGGTTCACTTGAAACAAATCTGGGAACTTCTCCTGGATGTCACACGCGTCCAAGTCATACCTGAGTGGGGCCAGACACCAGTCAGCAGGGACTGCAACACTCTCCAGTCACCCATGCCCACCAGAAAATAAGCACAGCACAGGGCTGAGTCCTCTCCAAGCACAGGTACGGGCACCCCGCTCTGCACCTCACACTCCGGGCCTACACGGGGCGTGTGCACACCTCAGAGCAGCGCCCGCTGCCATCAGGAGCGCTGGGCCCGCCGTTGCTCGCAGACCCTCAGGCTCAGGTCAGGCCCTCTGAGACCCTCAGAATGTGTTTCCATATGAATGGGGCTATCCACCCGGACAAAACGCCCAACTATCAACAGACGCCCACAGCACAAGGACAGGCAGCCGTGTTCTCTGTGGGCCAGGAGGCAGCACCCGTCTGCCCTGCTGGGCCAGGAACGGGAATGGAAAGATTCTGGAAGGCCCTGGTCTCGGAGCGCTACCGGAGGCAGCAGCCTGGGGCCCAGGCACAGGTGGGACACAGGAGTGTCCGGGGGCCTGGCCGTGGCAACACGTCACCGAACCATCCCAGCTTCACGGCCCTGCATCTCTCCAGGAGCCGTGGTGTTTTTCGCCATCTCCCAAGGACACCCCTGACAATGTTCTCACAGACCTGCTGGTGGACCAGCTCTCCAGTGGGCAGTGGCCTGTGTTTCTGATGCCACCCCACACTGCATGCCTCTATTGCTTTAGGTATCACAGCAGTAAAAGGACAAAACAGGAAAACACAAAAAGAGCAGCAGGTTCTGGAGGCCCAACGTGTTGAGGGAGGGCCCTGTCCTCCGCCACATCCGTGTGGCACCGGCAACCCCAAATGGACCCCACCCAGTGGGCGGAGGGGCTGGGGAGAAGGGCGCACATGAGTTCAGTCTGGGTGGAGCCACCAGACTCTGATCTTACTTCTCCGGACTTGACACAACACAACCCGTCAGCGCGCACAGCCCTAGTGAGCAGATCCGGCAGCACCCACGCACTCCTGAGAGAGCACAACCACCTTTGCACAAGGGGACAAAGACAGTGGTGAGCCACACACCCTTTGCAGGCTGCGGCGTCCCATCCACTCACTCCTGGCCCAGACGCCACCACGGCCTGCCAGCCGTTCTAGGTCGGGCACCCACCATAGGACGACACAGGCGACCCCTCATGCAGGCAGGAGCAGCTAACGCGGGAACCAGAGGGCCGAGCCCAGGGCGGGCGAGGTTGGTAAGGCGGCTCCAGCAGCAAGCAGGGGCCAGGGGCCTAGACCCCTGCCCACAGGAGGGGCGGCCAGGGAGGGAGGGAGAAGCAGCGAGGCGGGGTGCACACCAAGAGCCACATGGCCTCTGGCTTAGCTCCAGGCAGCACACTGATCACCGCCCATCCCCGCCTCCCCCCCAGCTGGCCCCCAGACTGTCCGGCCGGGCCTGCCCACTCACCCAGCAGACCAGTGAGGGCACAATGAGGTCTGTGAGCAGGGTGCAGCCCTGGATTTCAGAGGGCACTGAGCCCAGGGCCCGCAGCACGCCTGACCTTTGGCTAGAAAACAAATGCTGACCTCGTCACCGATTGCAACCCTGTGCACTGAAACACGCTGGACCGTCCCTCAGTGATAGGACACCTCACTGAGGATGGACCCACTCAGGTTTATGTGACAGCGCATCCTACTGACATCGTTCCAAATTCCTGCCTCAAACTGCCATTTCAGCCACCTCTGTCCATGGAACACACACGTCCCTGCATCAGTGAGACAGAGCAACAGCCCCCTCCAAGTGCCGGGTCATCAGGAAAGTCAGGGCGTATTTTTCTGTTTTCAACACAAAAAGGCGTCACGACTTTCCCAACGACCCAATAAAACGTCCTGGAGGCACAGCAGTTGTGCACCAATGTAAGGATACACTTCAGTAAGTTTCCCAACTTGTGTAACCAGCACATTCAGGAAAAGGCCTTCTCTCCGGCCCCCAAGAGGTGCCTGTGCCTCCCAAAGGGGTGACAACCCCTTGGTGTCTACAACTACATGCGAGGCCTGAGCTGACAGATGGTCAGGTGACCTGAGACCCCTGGTTCGCAGCTGTCTGTGCACGTCGCAAACCACGGTTTGTTGTCCATCCTACTGCAGACAGTGGTTCCCTTCCACTCTGAAGCTGTGAAGAGTAAAGCCACCAGCTACAGCATGGTGCGTGCTTAACAATACCACACACACGCTGGAGGCTGAGGCTGCAGGCGTTCTCATCACAAGGACAAGAGAACCCAATCCAGGTGGCGATGGGCTTCACTGAGTGTGCTGACCGTTCTGTGACAGGCGCACACACCTAGCCATCACGTCGTACACCTGAAGCTAATGTCAGTCATGTCGGTGACAAGAATCGAGCTGCGAGGGGCCGCCTTCTGAGTGCACGCGTTTCTCTGTGGGACGCACTCGGGTACACGGCATCTGCACGTTCCGGAGTCGGCGCTGCACCAGCGCCGTCTGGGAGGTCTGAGTGCCCCACGCTCCTGCTGGCATTGCCAATGACAGTCTCTTTGCCATCAGCCATCCCCGCCAGAGCACACTGGCTTTCACGGAGACCTCCCTGATGAGTGACGACCATGAGCAGCTCTGTGTGCGCGTGACCACTGGGACTGTCCCACTTTTAATGTGCCGTCTTTCTTTTCAACGTGCAATTCTGAATAGGTGCTGGACATACGTCTCTTGTCTAAATACCTACTACAAACATCTCGTTTGCCTGAAAACATCTCTAATTGACTTCCATTTTCGGAGGACAATTTCACTGCAGATAAAAGCCCATGTTGGCAACTTTTTTCTGTCGGCACATTTAGATGTCCTCCAGTGACGCCTGGCTTCTGTCGTTTCAGTTAAAAGGCAGTGGTCAGTCTTGTTCTGAAGTTTCCCTCCCTCTCACATGAGGGGGCTTTGAAGTTTTTATCTTTGGTTTTCAGCAACTTAACTATAATGTACTTAGGTATGGAATTCTTTCTTTTTTTTAAGATTTTATTGGGGAGTTGGGGGAGGGGAACAGCGTTGGGGAATCGGGGAAGGGGAAACAGACAAGTTGCTGTCCTTTTGTTCTTCAGTCTAGTTGTGGAGGACGTCGCTTCACTGGCCCATGTTGGTATTATCATTGTGCTCTTCCTGGGTGAGGCATATCGGTTGCTGGCCACTGGACGGCCACTCACAGCGGCTCATGGCAGCTCATGCCGGCTGCCAGCTGGCAGCTCACGCCGGCTGCCAGCTGCTCACGATAGCTTTACGGTAGCCCAGCTCCAGGTTGAGCTGTTGTTCACCATCTTAGCTGTAGAGGGCAGTGTCACTGGCCCTCATGTGGGATCCGAACCGGGGCCCTGCTGCTCAGAGCTGGCATCCCAAGCCAGCTCTTAACCAATGTGCCACTCAGACGGCCCTCTTTTCTTCTTTTATAAAAATCTTTTTATAAAAAACTTTTTATAAAAAGAGCTTTTCAGTCTCTGGTTTGATGTCTTTCATTAGTTTAAAAATTTTAGCCAGTAATTTTCCAAAAATTCCTTCTGTTCTAGTTTTTTTTCTCCTAGGACCCCAAAAGAAGTATGCAGATCTTGTCACAGTACCCCAAAACTCTTACAATCCTTCTGTCACTTTTTCTCTGGGCGGCAGCCTGAAGGCATTTTCTTCCGGTTCACCATTTCTATGTCCTGCTGTGTCTACTCTGCTGTAGACACGTGGCCTGATCCTCAGTGCAGCTGTGACTGTGCTCAGTCCCAGAACTCCCACCTGCCTTCTTTACAGCCCAGGTCGCTGGCAAAATTCCCTACCTCCCCACTCTCCTGATTCCGTTGTTGGAAGTCTGGCATCTGACTCACCAGAGGGCCTTCACCTACTTTTTGCTCTTGGGTCTTCATTTGGTCTTTGAAAACCAATGTTTTTAAAGGATGCCTGCATTGTGGTTAAAAACTATCAAAGCTCTGGGGCTATCTTCCTCCAAAGGAGGAAAAATAACCCAAAAATGTTAAAGTGGTGACATTTCTTGTCCTTGTAGTGTCTTTTTCATACTGGTGCTTTACAACTTTTTAAGTGCCAATACGGAAAGGCCACTGCAACGGCAAGGCAGTGAAAACATTTAAAAGAGTAATAACATACGAAAACGAGACGTGCGCCCTTGGTCTCCTGACCCTGAGACCGAGGGCAGCAGATACCACGTGCAGGCCCCACGTGACACTTCACCTGCACAAGGGCACCACGCCCGCCAGGGCCCTGAGTTGGGCCCGGTACCCCGTTTGCCGAGAGGACACAGAGGAGAGCAGAGCGCTACCCTGGGCGCTGTGGGCACCGCCTCTAGAGCCATCCATGTGCTTTCCCCAGGAACACACTTGTGCGCGTGTCTCGCAGTGTGTGCATGGGTGTGCATGAGGCACACGAGCTGAAACAAAGGCGCTGAGGGCGCTCTGCCTTAGCCAGTCCAGCGATGAGCCCCAGCGTCGCCACGTAAAACGCATGCTGACCGATACCTGCCGCTTACAGAGGGCCAGGGGTGTGTCGCTGGGCCTCTCGCTAGCACCTGTTGTTTTAACCAGCTAATGTGCCTGAAAAGGACAATAAACCAGAACGAGCTGGATGCAACCAGAACTGTTCCTCAGTCATAGTAATTCCCACATCTGTCTCTAAAGCACGCTGTGAGCTCCACTGAGTCACCACCACCCACCTCTCAGCCCAACAGAGCTCTCTGCACACAGTAGGTGCTCCATTAAAGTGCTGCAGGCAGTGAGTGCCTGCTCACTGGCCCTGCCACCTCAGCGTGAGTGGACAAGCTCTAACAGGAAGTGCACAGCTGTCCCGAGGCAGCGAGGCATATGGTGGGAGCCACCACAGTCCAACCGAGGGCGACTTGGACTCCGAGCATCCTCAGTTCTGGGACAACCCAGGACTGAAGTCCAACCTGGCAAATTGGCCATGTGAAAACCTGCTACTGTCAACTGTACTGTTTCATGGGGCACACTCTGCCCCTCCCAGGGGTGACACTGGTGGGTACCTGTGCACTCCTCCCATCCTGGCCCCTCCCACGGGTGACACTGGTG